CCCCCCCCCCCACCAGTTTTCCGAGGAGCCCGCGCTTCCTGTGATGCCGTCAACGCTCCGCGAGCTTCATTGACGATGTCGGCCCTCGCCTGTTTTGTTCGACTCGCAGGAGAGGTCGACGCCTCTCCCCTCTTTTGCTTTCCCCATGAGCCAGGTTCGTCTCTCCCATCCTTCGTCTGGTCATAGGATAGCGACATTCCGCGGGAGGCTGCAGGCTGGCCACCAGCATCGACCGCGTCACTAACGCGGCAGGCGTCATCCTCACGGCGCCCGCGCGATTCGTTCTGGTGGCGACGGTGAAATTGGGAGGAGCGAATGTCTTCGACTTCCTCACCAACATCGTCTCTCTCCTCATCCATGCCATCGTCCTCACCTTCAGCATCTCCTTCGTTACCATCGTCCCCCTCACCACCGCCCTCCTCCTCCTCACCACCGCCCTCCCCCTCCTCACCACCGCCCTCCCCATCCCAACCACCGCCCTCCCCATCTTGGTCATCGAAGGCACCTGCACCTCCCCGGGAACAATGTTGGGGACCAGCCCGATAGCGCACAGCTCCGTCGTCGTAGTCTGTGGCCTCGCTAGACTGCTCGGCCACATCGCGACCTTGCCGATCCGAGGGCGGAACCGAAGAGGGCAGAGCCTGGACAACCACAGCCGACGAAGACGGGGCAGTCGCCAATTGCTGCCTCTTACCACCCGCTCTGGCCGGCTGATCCTGGCGCCGTTTGGGCCCCGCAGCCGATGAAGATGGGGCGTCAATCGGCACGAAAACACGGTCAACTTGCTGGGCAGCTGGCAGCCTCGCGAACTCTTCTCTGTATCACATAACGAAAGCTGTGAGTTGGTCCGTCGGGCTGTTGAATTGGACCAAAGGTCTGCTGAGCATGAAAGCGCTGTCGACAACAGGCAGGGACCCAGTCACGCAGTAGTCATTGGTTTTGGAAAGAAACTTTTCCGGATCCAACATTTGGAACTCCGTTCCATTTTCCCGCGCACGTCAAACACTTTCATCGACAAAGCCTTGACCCCGTATCCTTGGAAGAGCCGATGGTCAAGAGACACCTTCTTGTCTTCCTTGACCCTGTTTTTCCCCTCTATGTCATAGACAGACGTAAGGAAGAAGGTCCTGAACTTCCTGCCATCGTAGGTAAAGCTCCCCGCTTCCGATTTTTCCACCCCTCCGCAGCAGTACCAACTCAGGCCGTTGTCATCGCTCAAGAAGACAACGGCTCCACAACCCAGCGTATGAAGGCCACCGACCCAATCAAGAGCCCATGGTTTATCGTGGTTGAGCTTAGACCTGCCGTATGACCGTTTTTCGGGGACAGAGCCAGACGCTGATTTTCCTGAAGGGTCGCACAGAAAAAAACAACAAGAAAACAGAGCTAAGTGACATGAAGAAGCATCCGTCGCGGCACGGGAGTTTCGCTACCGGCCCACACAGCGGGTCCGGCGTTCCCAGAACGCCGGACCCCACGACCGTTGTGTGTGCGGGTCTGGCGTCCCCAAAATAGCAGACCCCACCAGCGTGCCTGTCGGCACGGGGGTTGGCCGGACCCCTCCCTCGCCCGCATCCTCGACGGAACCCCGCGGCGTTTCATGTCCGTCCCTCCCCCTCCCTCTAGCAGCACCGAGGGGGGTTCGGCGTTCCCGGAACGCCGGACCCACGTCGGTGCTGCGAGAGAGTAAGGGGGCCCCTCCCTCCCCGGCGTCTCGCAGCACCGATGGGGGTGCGGGGGAGAAACGGGGCCCGTCCCACCCCATCGATGCCCACAGCACCAAGGGGGTCCGGCGTTCCCGGAACGCTGGACCCCCTTCGTGCTGCGGGGGAGGAAGGGGGTCCGTCTGGCCCCCGTCGCTGGCAACAGCACCAAGGGCCCGGAACGCCGGACCCCTTTGTGCTGCGGGGGAAGAAGTGGGTCCGTCGATGGCCAGAACACAAAGGGGGTCCGGCGATCCGAGAACGTCGGACCCCCTTTGTGCGGCGGGGGAGGACGGAAACGCCGGACCCCCTTTGTGCCGCGGGGGAGGACGGGGTCCGAGATCTGATCCGATGATGGGCATAGCACGAAGGGAGTCCCCCTTTGTGCTGGGGGGGAAGAAGTGGGTCTGTCCCCTCCCCTCGATGGCCACAGCACAAAGGGGGTCCGGCGTCCCCGAAACGTCGGACCCCCTTTGTGCCGCGGGGGAGGACGGGGGTCCGTCCCTTCCCCGCGATGGCCATAGCACGAAGGGGATCCGGCGTTCCGGGAACGCCGGACCCCCTTTGTGCTGCGGGGGATGAAGGGGGTCCGTCCCATTCCCTCGATGGCCACAACACCAAGCCTCCGCACTCCGGGGGGGGGAGGGGGGAGACGCACCCCTCGCTCCCCCGAAGCACGAAGGGGGTCTGGCGTTTCGGGAACGCCGAACCCCCTTCGCACTGCGGGGGAAGGGGGGGGGG